AGGAGTCAGTGGGACAGTGGGGACAGTGGGGATAGTCGGGCAGTGGTTGGGGCCGTGGAGACAGTGGGGAGAGTGGAACCGTGGTGGGAACAGTTTTGGGGACAGCGGGGACAGTGCGACAGTGGTGGGGCCACTGGTGGGGACAGTAGGGGCGGTGGTGGAACCAGTGGGGACAGCGGTGGTGAGGACAGTGGTGCTGGGAACACCAGTGGGGGATGTGATGCGGACGGTGGTGGGGACCGGGAGTCGTTTGCTGGCGGTGAGTAGGGGGGGGGGGGGCTCGCAAAACAGGTAGGGACCCCCTCCGGTTTTTCCGGATCCGATAAGGGATAAGGGGGGGGGGGGGGGGGGGTTCCAACCGGTAGTGACCCCCCCCGGTTTTCCGGATCCGGAGGGGGGGGGGTGGAGGAGTTCGAACCGGTAGTGACCCCCCCCCGGTTTTCGAGGGGGAGGGGGGGGGGAGGGGTTAGGGGAGGGGGTTTAGGGGAGGTGGGGGGGCGTTTGCCAGGGGGAAGAGGGGGGTGGGGGGAGGGTTCCAGCATGGGGGGGGGATTTTCGGAGGGGGGAGGGGGGGGGGGCGACCCCCGGGTTCCGGAGGAAAAGGTTGGCAATTTTCCACAGTAAAGCGGCGGTGGATCACGCTCTCTCACATTTCTGGATTCAGGGTTTTCACAGTAGGCATGTCGAGGGCGCGAGGAGATGAGGAGGGAGGAGGATCAGGCCTGTATGTGTCGTTGAATCCTAGGTGATTATTGAGACCCCAGCGATTTCTGACGCCCCAGCCGCGTCCGCGCTCTTAGCACTTCTACTGACTCCGCCTCGTCGCCGCGCGCGGGGCCGCTACCGCCAGAATGCGCGCGTGTGTGTGTGTGTGTGTGTGTGTGTGTGCTAATGTGTGTGTGTGTGTATGTGTGAATGTGTGCGTGTGTGGTGTGTGTGTGGTGTGTGTGTGTGTGTGTAAGTGTGTAAGTGTGTAAGTGTGTGTGTGTGTGTGTGTGTGTGTGCGTGCGTGCGTGCGTGCGTGCGTGCGTGCGTGCGTGCGTGCGTGCGTGCGTGCGTGCGTGTGTGTGTGGGTGGGCGGGTAACACGGCTGGGGCCCTCGAGTCTCCCAGATCGCATGGCCTCCCCCGCCCCGTTTGTTTCGTCAAATGGTCCCCGCATGTGCCTCGGGCCATGGTGCGCTGACCCTGCTCTGGCTGGCCTCCCCTTGTTTCCTTCGCACGGCAAGCCCATGCCTCCGGATGTTTCTGGAAGGTTTCCGGAGAATTCCTGTAGTCTTAGAGCGTTTCGGGGTGAGGCGGGTGGGTTGTGGGGTGGGGGCGCTTTCGGGGGTGGGAAGGCTTTCGGAGTTTCTGTGGGGTTCAGGAGGTTTCCGGAAGTGACCGTCTGCCCAAGGAAGTGTTCTCATGTGTGGTTGATTGATTTTTTGGGTCGAAGCATGTTTTCAGGGGCTATCCCTTTTCCTGGAGGTTTCGGTAGCCTGCCGCCAGGAGGTGCGGAAGGGGGAGGAGGAGGAGGACGATGAGAAGGAGGAGGAGGAGGAGGAGGAGCAGGAGAAGGAGGACGAGGAGCAGCAGTGGGAGGATTAGGAGAAGGAGTTGGAAGGAGGAACAGTCGAGGGGCCTTCGGCACATCTCGGCACCAAGGTCCGCATTGTATGATTTGGCAGGGCTGACGTTGGAAATCAGTCATTTATGGTTTAGAAAGCGCACCCTTAGTTTTGAACTTTTCGACATGCGCGCGCGGTCACGAGTGTGGCCCAACTGGCTTTCTTTGACAGGGATGACTGGGAGGCGAGGGGGTGAGATCGCAGTGGAACGGCGAGCTCCCCAACGGGAAATCGGTTTCGGTTTCGTGTTCGTGTTGTGCGTGCGGGCGAGGCGAAGCTGCGTGGGCGCGCGAGAGGAGTGATGCCGCCATGGCTGGGGACTGTGGAGCAGGGTATCCGCCCCAGCCCCCCCCGGCGCGGAGTCCCGTCGGTGGTGCGGCGGTGTCCCGTTGGTGGCGCGGGGTGTCCCGTCGCTGGCGTTGGGTGTCCCGTCGGTGGCGCAGCGATGAGATCGATGGTGAGATGTATTGTGAGATCGAAATTGATAGTAAGTTGTTGTGAGATCGATTGTGATATTTGCTGTGAGATCGACAGCGGGATGCGTTGTGAGATCGATGGTGAGATCGCCCGTGAGATCCATAGTGGGATCGACAGTCAGATCGATACTGAGATCGATCGTGATATTGATTGTGAGATAGATGGTGAGACCACATACGTAGTGAGATCGATGGTGAGATCGACTGTGAGATCGAGTGTGAGACCGTTATTGAGAACTGTTGCAAGATGAACAGTGAGACCGAATGTGAGGTCGATAGTGAGTTCGATTGTCAGACCGATGGTGAGATCGATTGGGGGATCGATAGTGAGATCAGTGAGATCGATGTTGTGATCGCTTGCGAGATCGATAGCGAATTCGATTGTCAAATCGATAATGTGATCGATTGTGAGATCGATCGTGGGACTGATATTGAGGTCGATGGTGAAATCGGCTGTGAGATCGTTTGTGAGACCGATCGTGAGAGCTGTTGTGAGATCTGTAGTTGGTCCGAATGTGAGATCGGTACTGAGATCGATCGTGATATTGCTTGTGAGATCGATAAAGAGATCTGTTGTGCTACCGATGGTTCGATGAATGTGCTATCGATTGAATCAGGGACTGGTTCCCCCTCCCCCCTTAACCTCCAGTTCGTATAGGTAACTCCTATGGTTCTTCTCGTGGCTTTAGCAAGGGCGTGCGCGGCATTTGCTACTGAAGACACCTTGTTTGATGTCTCTTCTGAGAGGCTCTATCTGGAATTGGTCAGAAGACTAATGGGTTCGTAATGATTTCGACATGCGCGCGGGGGGCATCAGCGCTTGCGCACCGCAGGGCGCTACCTGACAGGGATGACGGGGGGAGCCGATACGGGCTTGACTTTCTAATTGAACCGTTTCATTTCTGCAGGATGAGCGACCGTGCAGACGGATGATGCACCAGCGCAGTTTGCTGTGGGCCACCGTCTACCCCGTCCTCGGCGTGGGTGTCGAATCGAGCGATTATCGCCGTAACGCTGCTCTCGCCCGTGATGCTGCATTTAGGTTCAACCCGCTATGCCACCAAGGGTACAGCTGGGCTAAGCAGAGTCCCAGAGAGCCACCAAAGACACGCCAGAGGCCCAGGCCTAGCGCTCACGACGAAAACATCATCATCATCATCATCATCATCATCATCATCATCATCATCATCATCATCATCATCATCATCATCATCATCATCATCATCATCATCATCATCATCATCATCATCATCATCATCATCATCATCATTCCGTAGCCATTTTGGCTCAAGTCCATGCTAGGTTGCGGCCCCGCACGCGCCGCGCGTCCATGCATGCAATGCGTTGCGTTCGCCGCCGCCTGCTGGCTGGTGGCTGCTGCTGTCGCTGGACACGGTGACGTCATGCCGCACTGTCGGTCGCCTTCTGCCCGTGCTCGGCGCGCTCGTCGCGCTCTCGAGCTCGGCTTTCTTGTGAGGCGTCTTCCTGGTCATCGCCATGTTCGTGTTCCTGCGGAACTTCATGAGCACGCCCGTGGGGTCCTTCGCGGTCTCCAGCTACACAGTCACTTGCAAGGAATTGGTGGGAAACCTACTCACACGTTGCGCCAGGCTATTGGTGCTGCTGCTCCACTCCTACCCCCTGAAGCTCTTCCACATTTGCACCGTGAGAATCGACGGTACGGACGCCTCAAACACCGCGTACCGCTACCACAAGCTGCTTCTGCGCGGACTGGTGCGACGCCTATCTCCCTCGCTGCTGCGCTGGGCCCTCCTGGGCCGCGCGCTGCGGCGCTGCCGCTGGATGCTGCCGTGGCAGCGCTTTTGCAGGTGGCCGTAACTCTGCTGACGATGTTGCGCCCGTCGGGCTTCTTGTCCCTGCCGTACCCCCAGCCGCCCCTGATCCCCATAGGTGTGGTCAACGCTGAGGCTTTGCCTGAACTGATGTGCTACTTGTCCCACTCCCCGCCGGGATACGACCTCGGGGGCACGGACGTCGCGGCTGCTGCCCAAATGTCTGCGGCGAGTGTTGTGCCGGCTCCGTTGGGCCAGCAGACATTTAGTGAAGTTCCTCCGTGCCCTTCGTCGAGTCGCGATTCCCACACGTCTTTCGTGCATGACCTGGACTTCGAATCCGAGTTCTGCGTGTTCGAGGAGAAAGCGGTCCGTGAATGGCCTGCCCCTCGTCGTCCTGCAGATTATCTACCACCACATGCTTCTGGCGGAGCTGCCGTTCCTCATGGAGTTCGTTCTGGTAGAGCGCGGGATGCGGAAGGTGACTCTGATCGCGACCCCCGTGGTGATACTTCTTCTCCTGCTGAGGCCGCTGTCTCAGACCTGGCCGAGGCATCTGATGAAGCCGGTCTGCGTGAGCATGCTCGCGCTGGTGCGGCCGCTGCTGCTGGTGGCGTTCATCTTCTTCCTCCTGGTGTTTTCGATCCACACGGTGATGGAGATGCTCAGCGCGATCTTCGGCTGGGTCTTCAGGGAGCTGCGGCTGCTGACCTGCGTGTTGGTGCAGACGTCGCCGCTGTTTGCACGGGGCAAGCGCCCGCTGCTTCTGGTTGCGGCTCTCTGCCTCTACATGGTGATGGTTCTTACTCTGGCGCCCCTCGCGCTGCCTCGGCTTTCTCCGCCGAGTGTGACGGCCCCGAGCTCAACGAGGACTTTGCCGAAGCCGTTCTGCGTGAGCATGTTTGTGCTGAGGCTTCGCCGTCCAAGGCTGTCGATTTCCACTGCTTGAAGGTCTTGGAGGTGGGTCCGAGGATAGCGACCCGTCCTGCTTGCCGTTTCTTTCCTCGATGTGCTCGCGGTGACGAGTGCACGTACTCACATCTTTCGGAGGTGTCTGATCATGCGATTGCTGATGAACATGCCCGCCTGTCCAATCATTTCCACAGCTATGCAGGTACCCCGTCATTGTCGGCGGCGCTGTGGCACGCCCGTGCTGCTGGTCACAGCGCGCCTGAGGTTTACGCGATGGTAGATGGAGAATCCTGGGGGCAGGCAGTCATTGATGATACTATACATGAAGGGCTTCTTCAGGACGAGCCCGTCCAATCGCACGCACTGCCCGCTGGACCTCAACATGATGAGCCGCAGTGTGGCGAGCGGCCCCTTGCTGATGTGATGGTGGATAACCACTCGGAATTTGACGATCTTCTGCATGAGGAGTTCTTCCATAATGAGCCCGTACACTGGCATGCACCGCCCGCTAACCCACAGCATGATGAAGCACAACCTCCTGATGTATTGTTCTGCTGGCGTGATGATCCGCGTGGCCTGGGCCAAGACCATGCTGAGATACATGCAGAACCTGGTGAATATGACTGGGCTGTTCCTGGTACGCCCTTCCTGCGTCGCGCTGAGCTGCTTCACCTTCGCTGCTGCAGCACGGCTCTCGCTGATCTGGCAGACGAACTAGCACGCCACACTGCCGAACATCATCGGTCCGCGCGGACTTCATCTTCGACTGGACTCTGTACTACGTTCTCTTTGTCCACGCGTGCCTCGGGAGCGTCCCAGGTATGCTGCGATATTCGTGGGGCTTCGCCCTCGCTTTCTGCTCTCTCCGAGGGCGGCGGATTTGGTTAGATTAAAGGTGTGTCGAATTGACTCGTTCTCTACGCTCATCATCATCATCATCATCAGCAGCAGCATCATCATCATCATTATCATTATCATCATCATCATCAGCATCATCATCATCATCAACTTCATCATCATCACCAGCAGCAGCATCATCATCATCCTCGGCGTGGTGTCGAGTCGAGTGTTCTTCATCGGAGCCAGCTTGCGTGGCGCAAGCTGCGCGCAAAGCTCGGGAGCGCCAGCCAACGCACGCGGCGGCCGCGGGCGCCACCCGGGTGAAGACCTTGAGGCCGCCCAGCTGGCGCCACGGGGCAGCCAGCAGGCGGCCACGGGCGCCTGCCGGGCGAGCGCCCGGAGATGCCAGCCGATGCGCTGGGCGGCCACGAGGCGGCCACGTGCGATGCATCGCCGAGAGATCGGCGATAGGCTCCTCCTCCTCCTCCTCCTCCTCCTCCTCCTCCTCCTCCTCCTCCTCCTCCTCCTCCTCCTCCTCCTCCTCCAGGGCGAGGGCCGGGACACGCCAGCCAACGAGCAGCGCACGCGGCGGCCGCGAGGCGGCCGTGAGCGTCTCTTGGGATACAGCCCAGACATGTCAGCCATGCAGTCCAACGGCAGAGCTCCGTAGTGCAGCAATCGCTGCCTGGTAGTTTCCCAACGGCATTCTGGTTGCTTGTATGCGCCGTCCCTCTTCCCTGCCGCCCTCCGTCCCTGAGCCCGTCGCTCCCTCTCTCTCTCTCTCCCGTTCTGCGCCTGTCTCATCCTTGCTCGGTCAGTTCCCTGCAGCAGCTGCTCCTGGGCACGTCCCGACGTGCAGCAGAGACTGACCGTCTGTCCGATGTCCAGTTCTCTGGTGGCTCCAGCTGTCCTGCCACCCACCGTCGGGAACTTTTGGACTGCGTGTCGCCCCGCGGGTTCTAGCCCACCTTTCCTTGGTGAGACACGTTATCCACGTCGCTGTCCCCCAGCGTCCACGTCCCGAGCACTTCCGAGCCTCCCGCCCCGCGGAGCAGAGGGTCCGCTCGCAGGGCGTAGCGTGCCGCCGTGGACGCCGTGGCGACGCGCTGTCCCAGAGTCCCGACCGTACCACTGCATCGCCATGCCCCGCGGCAGCCTACACCTGCTTCGCGCTGCTCCTCCTGCCGCTGTACACCTCTCTCGACGTGCTGCGGGCGAACCTCCTGCAGGCGATCGACAACTCTGAGGCGTTCCGGCCCACAGCTCCGGGCACGGCAACGGACCACGACCATCACTATGTGAACTTTTCTGGAGGGCCTCTCGGTCTAGAGCCCACCGACCCCGACACGCGCTCGTTGGTAGTGGTTGTGGTCGATTTGGCCGTTCTCGGACGCCATATCGACCACAACCACTACTAAACTGGCTTTGGTTTTATGACTGTTGTTGGCATGTGCAAACATCCCCCAGGGTGGTTTCGATGTGGTTGTGGTCGCTTGATGTCCCCGCAGCAGCGCGTTTTGCTTCTCGCTTTTCTCACTGCTCTGCATGCTCGCGTCATTCATGCTGGGAGCGGGTCGCTACCCTCCTTGCAGGTTTGCCAGTTTCATTGCTTACCAGATGATGACCAAGACCAGCTACAGGTACCCTCATCGGGTCATCTAGATGGCCACAAGTTGGAATCAAATGGGGGGGCGAAATGGCGCTACAATGAACAAATCAAGAGGCCCAACCGCGTATTTAATAGTAACAAGACGTAGTGCAAACGCAATGTATTAGACGCAATCTGTTGTTTGGATTTCCGCGCAGTCCCGACGAGGATGACAAGGAGCACTTTGTTTCAGGGGGGGTGCACCATCTCTCACAGCGGTTCTGGATTCGATTGGTCGTCGTACCATGTCGACGAGGTATGTCTTCTGTGAGCGGGACGTCCGTTACAGGGTTTCCACGAAGCTCGACGTCCCTTCCATGATCGGGGCTACCGGTGTTTCGTCCCATCCGAAGGCTCTGGGGGGAGGCCCCTCCCAAGGAGGGAGTTTTGCAATGGCCCTTGGGGCTGCCTTGAGGCCCTCTTGCAGTGCCTTCAAGGTTTCTTCGGGCTTCCACGGAGCGTCTTGGGGGGGTGTTTGGGGGCTTTCTTGGGGCGTCTTGGTGGCCCATTGGGTGTGTTTTCGGGCGGGTGGTAATGGGGGGTGACCGCAATGGGGGGTATAGAGAAGGGCCACAAAGGGGCCCGAGGGCCCCTGCTGATTCCAAAAGGGGCCCTGAAGGGCCCCTTCAGGGCCCTTCTCTCCACCCCCAACTTAGGTCCCCCCCATCCCCATCACCACTCACCCGACCCTGGGGCGGGGTGGGAGGCCAGCTCTCCAGCCAACCACGATCGGGAGGGCACCCCCTCCCCCACGAGGCCCGTAGGGAGCCCTCCCGTCGGATGTTACTAAAGATGCCTCTGGCCCAGGTTGTCCTCAGGATTCTCGAAGAGCCCCCAGTCGTCGTCGTCGTCGTCGTCGTCGTCGTCGTCGTCGTCGTCGTCGTCGTCGTCGTCGTCGTCGTCGTCGTCGTCGTCGTCGTCGTCCTCGTCGTCGTCGTCGTCGTCGTCGTCGTCGTCGTCCTCGTCCTCGTCCTCGTCCTCGTCCTCGTCCTCGTCCACGTCCTCGTCCTCGTCCTCGTCCTCGTCGTCGTCGTCGTCGTCGTCCTCGTCGTCCTCGTCATCTGCCTTGCCCTCGCCCTCGCCGTCGTAGTTGTCGTCGTCGTCGTCGGCGTCGTCGTCGTCCTCGTCCTCGTCCTCGTCCTCGTCCTCGTCCTCGTCGTCGTCGTCGTCGTCCTCGTCGTCCTCGTCGTCTGCCTTGCCCTCGCCCTCGCCGTCGTAGTTGTCGTCGTCGTCGTCGTCGTCGTCGTCGGCGTCGGCGTCGGCGTCGGCGTCGGCGTCGGCGTCGGCGTCGGCGTCGGCGTCGGCGTCGGCGTCGGCGTCGTCGGCGTCGTCGGCGTCGTCGTCGTCGTCGTCGGCCTCGTCCTCGCCTCGGACACCTTTGCCTCCCGCCCCCCCCGCCGCCCCCAGGGCTTTGGGCTGACCTGAGGGCGCGCGCCGCGAGGAGGCCGTCGTCCCACCGGGCGCCTCGAGCGCGCGGCGGGCACGCTTCCGGTCGGCCGCCGCACGGGCAAGAGAGGGCGGGGGGGGGGTAGCACCAAGAGGAGCACCGAGAGGAGGAGGAGGAGGAGGAGGAGGAGGAGGAGGAGGCGGAGGAAGAGGAGGAGGAGGGTAGATCAGGGTAGAACAGAAATGGAGCATGATCCCTCGCGTCCCGCGAAAGGAGGGCGATCCTCCCCTGGCGTCTGCACCGCAGACCGCACACGAAGGCGCACCCTGGGTTCCCGCCTCCCCCAAACGCAGGGGAGGCCGAACCCAGAGGCGGCCCCAGGGAGAGACCGCCCTCCCCACCAGGCCTGGGAGATCTTGATGTCGCCCCAGCTGCCTTCCGCAATCGGAACCTCGGCCTTCATGTCGAGGAAACGCAGCACCTTGGCGCGAGGAGCTGCGCCAGCAGCTCACGGGTGCCTGGCTCCTGGCAGTGCGTCAGCTGCTCCAGAGCGTGGGACGTGTCCCCCGCGCCCTGCTTCTGCTCCTCCAGAACTGTCGCATCCTGTGGCTCGGCTTTCTTACCGATGTCGAAGACCACTCCTTTCGGCGTCTTCACCTCTCCGCTACCTCCCTTGCGGTACTTGCCATTGACGGCCTTACCGCCCTTTGCCAGGGTGGAGTTGGACTTCACCACGATGTCGTCCTGCTCCTGCTTCGGCTCCCGCTCTGCCATGTGCTCCGCTCCGAGCGGCTTCTCATGGTAGAGCTCTGCTGCCTCGCCCCTGGCGACTCTGATCTTCTGAGTGTCCTCGTTGGACTTGCTGGCGTCCTAAAGCAGGTCCTCGGACTGGTTATTGGATGACCCGCCTGCAACACCCAAACACCATGTCCAACGCCTGAGGCTGAAGCGGTCGGTCTCCTTGACGATGGTGCCCAAGCTGCAGTCGCGCCTGTACGGCGCTGCTCCTTCTTCTTTCTCTTCACCTCCCTGGCCTTCTGCGGGCGCAGCTGCTGGCCCAGGTGCCCGAGCTCCAGGTCCGTCTGCTCGAACAGGTTGGGCTCCTCCGATGCCTGCGACGGCTCGCACTTTACGGTCACGGCCTCCGTCGGTTGCTCCCGCTCGTTGCTCTCCATCACCTTCGGCCCGGCCCCGATCCCCTCCCGCGGCGGCTCCACGGCCTTCCAGGCGCCCCAGTCCTCGTCGGCGCTCCGCCAGCTCCTGCGGCTCCTCCCGCAGGAAGCTCAGAACCTCCTACAGCGCCGACTGCTCGGGCCGCTCCGCCTTCTCGTCCCTGCTGGTCTGCCTCCACGGCTTGAGGACCCCGTCCTGCACGTCGCCGAGCGTGTCCTCCGACGCCGCAGCCAGCTCCCGCTGGAACAGTGCTAACGGGCCCTCCGAGCCCTGCAACGGCCAGGTGGCCCTCGCAAGCGGTCTCGGCCTCGCACTCGGCATCTGTGAGGCCGTCACCGCCGTCTCCCGTGTAGAGCACGCCACCAAGTGTTTCTGCGACACGCGGCGGCGGCGCGGAGGTGTCACCGGCGCCGCCGTTGAAGACGATCTCGGCATTCTCCACGTTGAGGCATTCCAAGAAGGCCGACAACTGGCTGCGGAACTACCTCGAAAGGTCCGCGGAGTCCACCCGAATGGTCACGTGCTTCATGGCGCCTCGCGCATCCCCATGGCCCC